TATAATATAAATCACTTCTAGAAGAATGACTTGGTCCAAAATATAAGTCATTTAACGAATTAGTTAAAATGACTTATATTATGAACAGGAGGGAATGCATTTATAGCTTATTTATTACTTTCAATTAATTTTAATTAATTTTTTTGTTATCTGCAAATTAATTATTTAAAGCTTACAGTGAAGAGAGTAGTAAATTTCTTAAAAGTGGGACTCAGCATTTTTTTAACTTTCTCTGTCTAATTTTCAAAAGCCGAAAGCTATAAGTACCAAATTTTTACTTTTGACTTACAGTGGCTTTTTATACAAAAGTTAAATTGCCAAATCATTAATGCAAACACCACAAATTTTATCCACCGCATATTTGCTCATTCAACCGCAAATGGAGGCATACAAACACTTTCACAAACACAGCCTTAGTCCATCACCCATCAATTTCTAACTGGCAACAATTACAATAGATAAGGTAGCCTATTGGCAAGGCTAATGAGCATCTATGTTTTCTCTATTGGCTCACTAATTATTGAACTTGATAATTTTACGTTGACAAAATATTATTCGTATCACTTGGTCCTTCTCCAACTTCAGCAGCTGTGATTGTATATGATAGTTTTTGCCACATATTGTAGCTCATTATTACATTGTAAGTAATATAATGCTTGTAGAACTAGTGCTGACGATACGTCTTCCATATCGATAATTGTTGTGTAATGATTCCAGAAACCGCTGCAATAACAATACAATCACGTTTCAGAAGATTGGTTGCTCGTCGCACGTTTCTTAAAATGCATAATGCTGTCTCTCTTTTGCAAACTGTTTTCCGAGCTTGGCTAGAAGTGAGGCAGGAGTCATCGTTCTCCTTCGTCCAAGGTCAAAATTTTTCATGTGGTATGCTGCGAATTAGCTGTCTCTTGAACATTTGTGAGTAATTTCGTCAAGTACTCATGGCATGTTTTGCTTGTTCATTTGAACAGCGATACACAAGAGACCAGAAACACATAGGAGAGATGCCATGTTTTTCGTTCAAAGGCACTCTTTCTTGAAGCTAAAGAGGTCCGCATTGCTTATCCAGCAAGCAGTGCGGAGTTGGCTCTCTTGGAGGCATCAGCAGGAATGCAGTATACTTCCTCAATTGACGGCTTCAGATCCAGTGGCTGCTGCCACTACTGTTCAGAAATTTGTTCGTGGTTGGATGGCACGATCTAGATATAATCACATGCTTGAGCAGCAAGAGAAAGCTTCGTATTTGTACTCACAAAAGGTTATGTTTGAACTTCAAACGAAAGCGGCCATCAGGATTCAGCTTGCTTGGAAGAGGTATATGTGCTGCAAGTTTACTCAGAGGCACTTCTGTGCGACAATAATTCAAAGCAGCTTTCGTAGGTGGCGGTTAAGAAGAATATATTTGAATCAGATTCAAGCTGTTCTGAAAATCCAATGTTATTTTCGAATGTCTGCTAGTGTAAAGACTTTTCAACACTTCAAAATGGCATTTAAGGCAGCCATTGTCATTCAATCGTTCACACGTGCATGGATTGCACGGAAGGAAGCTTATGCACGTAGAAGTCGCATCGTTTCAATTCAAGTAAGACCCGACAATCGTTCTATTGCTAAAATTTACTTTTCTTTTTTGCTTGACCTTCCACTACACGGAAAAGAAAATGATGGGTTATTGACTTATTCCCTTACTAAGGCAGATTATATACTGACCAATGGGTTCAAGTAGAACTGCTATTTACATCGTAATTGGTTTGTAATGGCTCAGTGAAACTTTTAGTTTGCTTTGCCCTCATTCATGTCTCTAATCCAAATCAATCGACGAAGTTTGTTCTTATATTTTGAAGTTTTATTCTAGATTTTTATGGTGTGCTTTGAATGAATCCAGAGGCATTGCCGCGCTTGGCTGGCGAGAAGGGACTTCATGTGCCAAAGAGGCGCTGCAATGAAGATCCAGACCGTCATTCTTAGTCTGAAGTACCAGAAGGCTCTCAATTGTCGGAAAGATGCAGTGCTGCAGATTCAGCGTTTTATTAGGGGGCATTTATCACGAAATAGACTCTTGGGTAATCCATAGGCGTTTCTGCGTATACCCTTCTAAATCTTCTCTTTAGCTATCATTTGCACGATTTTAATTGTGCATTAACATTTTCTTACTATATGATTCCGGCATGTTGTCGTAATGCAGGGGGTGCATCTCGTCAACGCGCAATGGTTCCAAGTGGTTGCATTTTAAGATCAGCTGGTTACTCTAGTTTTCAACTGGAACTATATCTGTGTTCTGTTCTGAAATTGCAGCGGTGGTGGAGGGGTGTCTTGCTACACAAGTTAAGAACAAAGTCTGTAGTTATAATCCAATCGTGTACTCGGGGGTGGATTGCTAGGCGAATGGCAACTGTTCGCAGACACCATGTTATTGTCATTCAAGTACGGTAATCTGATCGCCTTCATTAACTATGCCGGATTTCTATTATAAGTTGATTGATGCAACCATGCACCTGCTCTTGGTATTTCGAGTTAGCTTCATAATTCATTTTGAAATACTTGAGATGACATTTATGGGGAAGCCCCTATAATCCATGATTGGATTGTACTTATCCCAAAATAAGGGACTGATATTGTGATGGTGCAGGTGATGACGCTTGTAAACATTGTCCTATTTTCATCAATATCTAGTTTATTCTTTTTAATAACTTCTATATTTTCTAGTCCCACTGGAAAGGTTACCTTGCTCGGAAGGAGTCAAGAGAGCAGCTGCGAGACTTGCGCTTGAGGGTAAAGAAGTCTGCCAGAAATGTGGACGATAGCAAGCGTCTCATAAACAGACTTCTCCTGGCGCTTTCAGAGCTGCTTCATATGAAGAGTGTCAGTGGCATCCTTCATACTTGTGCAACGTTGGGTAAGAATAACAATATTTAATTTGTTTTTATTAGATCAAGCTCTTTATAGAAGCATGAGATGTTCAGATCAGTTTTGGAGTATCTTGCCTCTTGTAACCAAATAACCTAAACTTTTTCCTGGATTTTGTCTTTGAACTACAAATATTAAAATAGCAGTGGTCTTTTACAAACACGACGTTAAGTTGCTCCAAGTATGTTGTCTGATTCCCATTGGCATACTATGTGCAAAGTTGCCGTTTAGAATTTAGAGGCAAGCTTTATTACTGTCTTTCTATCGTATGAGATTGTTTAACTAAACATTACAGACAATCTGGCATAATTAAGAAGTTATCTCTACCTTATATTATTTCAATCTTCGTCGCAGACATGGCTACGGAACATTCCCAGAAATGTTGTGAAGAACTTGTCGCCGCAGGGGCTATTGACAAGTTGCTGACGCTTATTCGCTCAGTAAGCCGAAGTATACCTGATCAGGAGGTTCTTAAGCATGCTCTGTCAACTCTCCGAAATCTAGCCCGCTACCCTCACCTACTTGAATTGCTGATCCAAAGCAACGGTTCCATGCAGACAATCCTCTGGGAATTACTGAGGTATGTGTCACACTCTAGTAGGGGCTAACGTTAAAAGTTGACAAGAGCATTGTTGTCTTGCTAGTTGTTCCATACAATTTAAGTTTTAACCTTTTAAATTCTCCCCAGGAATAAGGAGGACAGTTACTTTATTGCTTCGGAACTTTTGATGAAGATATCTTCAACTCCTAAAGGTGTTGAATCGTTACGCAAGTTACCTGCTCTTGTAAAACGACTGCATGCTCTTGTTGAGGAGCTTACACGGAAGGGAATCTACGAGAAAAGGTCAGAACTGGGCTACAGTCTACAGGAAAAAGCAAAATTTACAGTGAGATTTTTCAGTAGAAGTACAGCATAAACTACAAAGAACCTTTTTAAAAATAATTCATAATAATTGGTGTTACGTTTTTTGTTTGAAAAAAACTGAAATTTGTTAAAAACAAACCCTCTGGCTCTTCAAAAGTTAGATGAGATAGAACTAACAGGGAACTTGGATTATACTCCTGATCTGATCTGATCTATCTGCTTAACTGCAGAAATGGCAGAGCTCCTAGTGCAGTAATAAGAGAGAATAGAGAGAGGAGATTGAAGGAGGCTGCTGGGATTCTCAAACTGATAACAAATGCCTAAAGTGTAGTTATGATGCCCAAATAGAGTGTGCAAAGGTTGGATATTTCCAAGGAAACAAACCTTCGTCTTACTCTGATTTATTCGTTGCACATCTCGTGGGTTCAATGATTGGGGTATCCAGCTGATTTCCTGATCAGAAACATTGTTACTCGTTTGTTAACTGACACAATTCTTGAATATTCAACTAAAAAAGAAATGTTATATATATGTGTGTGTGATTGTGTTGTAGTCGCAACTATTCTCTGGACCCACCCCCCCATTTCTTGTTGACATATTGATATTAAGGCGAATTTAAGCTTCATAATTTCTTGTTTTGATTTGTTTAGGATGTTTAGATGGAAACTAAAGAAAAATGTTGTAAAAACGTTACAAATTCCCTATCTTCAAGTCCTATTAAGTTGCTGCCTTTTGTTGTAAATCGGAGAAAAGAAAGTGGTGCCTCTTAACTGAAAGACTACCATTCTTCGATCTTCGTCGTCAAGCCATCAGATGGGAAAAGTCTCATCGTATTAGATCAACCGAAAAATCTTGTGATTCTCGGGCAAAGTCAATGTCGTCACGCAACTGGCACATGATAATATTTTATATCCTTTGTGTCATAATTAATATTTGGAGGCTGCCTCCCTTTTTTCCTTTTTTGGCCAGCGGAGGCTTCTTCCTTTCCACACACACAAAGCAAAAGTATTAACTACCGGGATCGCCGGCCAAAATATCTGCATCTACGTGGAAGGTCTTTTACTTTGGCGTGAAGGTTATGTTTGGAAATCAGATTTCTTATCCATTCTTATTTTTCTGACGGCTTGAAAAAGAAAGTGATCACTGATTGGCAAAGAACTACCAATGGATGTTATAGGTTTTCTTCCATTTTCCCTCACCCAGTTATCAAAAATTATTAAAAAAAAAAAACTAAGAAAGCTTCGAATTTGAAATAATCAGATAAGCCAATAAAACGAGGACTTAAACTAAATGTCACTTCTGTAAATAACAGTGAGCAGATAAAATATCCAAATTCAGAGGCTGCTGATTTTCCCCAGAAATATATGAACAAAGAAGAAGCAAAGTATTGGGAATTCATCAAGCAGCCCTAGCAAGAACTTCCATTGTCTCAGGCACAGCAGAAGGGTCAATAAAGAAGCCTCTCCTCAAAGATCTGGGAACCGTAACGGTCAAGACTCCATTTTCATATCCTGCAGAGATGGCTTCGAGGTCAACCCTAGCTGGAAGCCTGAACTTCCTCATGAACTTCCTCGCAGGAGCCTCTGTGGATTCCTCTGCTTCTTCAGTTCTGATTATGAGGTACCTCGAATCTTCAACCTCCACTCTCAGTTCTTCTTTCCTCACACCTAACACACGCAAAATAACCAAACAAATTAATGCGAGGAGCCAAACACAGGAAAAAAAAAATTGTGAAAAAGGGTGAAGGAAGACATTTGTGTGTGTGTGTGTATATATGTATATGTGTACCAGGGATGTCAGCAGAGAAAATGTGAGATTCTGGCGTTTGGGTCCAGTGAACATAGTTTGGAGGGATGAGGTTGTGTGGAAGGAGGAGGTGAGGAGGGAAAAGGTATTGCCAGGGAAGAGGATGGAGAGGGGATGGCAGCTCCATGGAAGAAGGGTTCTGAATTCTGATATTGGTATTGTGTGTTTGGCTGCTAGATATGATATTTGGATGGATGTCAGAAAAGGTAAGGCGGTTGGCTTTGCCTTTTGTTAGGGTGGGTTGCCAAGTTGGGGGCGTTATGGCCTCTATTCTTTTTTTTCTGCCGGGAGGTTGTGGCCTCAATTTGAACCACAAGTTGGCAAGTTGCCAGCATAGGTATATAGTAAGTAAATAAATTTGGTAGATGCAGGGTTTACTTATACTACTGGAGGACGTTTAGTATGAGAAAAATGGAAGAGAGGGGGGTTAGATAACATTTTAATGACTTCTGTTTAAAAAATTAAACAAATAAAATTAAAATTTTTCAATTTATTTTTTTATTTTTTTATCTTGTATCTTTTTTTTATTTAAAATTTTATAACTCTGCTTTTTTAATTTTTTAAATCGAGCTTATTAATTTTTTTTCTCTGTTTCTCTCCAATTCCCTCGTACCAAATATAGGGTTAGTAAATCCATAGCCTTGTGTTTTCTCAAATTCATAGCATGATGAAATTTCCTTTGGAACTATAAGTTTAGCATTTCAACATCGGATTTGAATATGAAATTTCATTCAAATGTGAGGTGTGCAATTTTTTGTTGAGAGAACTAGCCGTTCTCACTCGCTAATTAGTTATTTTGCCCCTCTCATTTGTACCAAAAAAAAAATAATTTTTAAATGTTATTATACATAATGAATAATTTGGAGGTTATTAGGTATTTTTAAAAATTTGGTGCTATTATAACTTTTTTTGCTAATTTGAGAAAAAAAAGAAAAATTTACTATCTAGTCTGTTTGCATATAAATCTTAGAAGGCCTTCGGTTCATATGAGGCGGGTGAACTGAATTACTGTTTAGTTTTAAAAAATGATACCCATGTAAACTTTAATATAAGATTTAGTTAATTAATTTAAATAGATTAAAAATATTAGTTAAATTAGTTAACATGGTATTTTTTTCTCTAAAACATTCTAAATATCTTTCTTCTATCTTCTACTTGATTATTATTAGGAAAATATTAATAGAATTAATTTAAAAATAAATTAATAAATATATGAAATAAGTCCTATATATAGGACTAATATAACTTTCTAATTAGTTCTTGCATAGTAAGAGTACCATATGATGGTGTGAAAAGAAGAATTGACTGTGGACACGATTTCAGTCTCAAAGCTAAAGATCAGGATTGAAATAAGACTACAACATGATGTTTATTCTCTTTTAAAGTCAAACAGAAGTGTCATCTCATTGATGCGTAAATAAATGATACGCAACGGCCAGATCAAAATCATGAGACCGCCAATTGATCGAACAGACGCAGAATAATATCCACCGTTGATTTTGGCACCAATGCAGGGCACGTGGCCGTGTTCGGTCTGGAATCATGTCCAACGCGAATCTACCACCGAAGCCTACAATCCCAATTTTACCACCGGAAATAAATAATATTAAAAATTATTTTTATTCATCTTCAATGAATCGTTTCAGATCTGCATCTAACTGATAAGTCTGAGAAGACAGAGTTATATATACTTATGTATATAGATCACACAGGAGAATGATAGTCAAGCTCTAAAAGAGTGAATTAATAAAGTCAAGTCTTACGGTTTATTTTATAATTTAATTTAATCGCATAAAACTTTTTTTATGAGGGAAGGACACAGGTTTGATTACACTGATGATACTGGGCTGTTAGTAATTGTCTCTTTAAACATGATATGTTGGGTTCGAACCAAACCATGTGTATGAAAAAGATTTTGTTGGGAGAGACAAAACCCATTTCAGTGATCTTTATGTTTTGAGAGGATTAGTCTCTAACTATCAGTTAGGAGATACCACCTGGTTTCTACTAAAAATAAAAAAAAAAAAGTAAAATCGAAGTCTCAAAAACATATTAAAGTTTTAAATTGTTTCAATTAATATCTGCATCTTATTTTTATTTTCCTCACAAATAACTATTATTAATTCATTCTTTCGAAAATTAAATTCATCCAATCATTAGGATGCTTGTAGTTGTTTCTAATATAAACGAGTTATGTATCCACAACTGTATTTTCTTACTTGAAAGGACTTTTTATCGTGATGTTTTTTAATTCTTTTAGCCAACTCTGGGCCCATAAACATAGACGATGAAGTATAAATATGTTGTTTTTCCGTTAAAAAAAGGTAATTTTTTTGGCCAGAAAAAGAAGGTAAATTCTACAACTTGCTGCAGTTTGGGCGAAATACCATCATCTTACAAAATATCTTCACCTTACTATAAGATAATCGCTTCCCCCCCCCCCCTTCATTTTAAACAACAGTTAAAGAATATTAAGTATATTTTAAAATAATTTCTAATTATATATTTTACCAGAAATTTTAAATCTATATCTATGTCTACTACTATATCCGTGTTTTATTTATAATTTATCACAGAATGACATTTTAATTATTTATATATATACTCCTCCGGTCCTTATTATAAGACCCAATTTGACTTTTTATTTGGTCCTAATTATAAGACCCAATCCATTTTGTCTCTTATATTTATGCATTTTTTTCCAAGATAATCCTTCTAATAATGATAGTTTTAGCCAATATACTTAATTAGCAAGGATATTTTAGGAATGACAACACTTATTTATTATAAATAACCAACTTAACTTACTTCCTTAATCTCTTCAAATAAGTCAATTGGGTCTTATAATTAGGACCGGAGGAGTATATATATATCTCGTCTCCCTTTTAATTATTTTATTTTATTAATTATGGTTAAATTATTGATATTTTATCTTTTACATATCAACTCTCAACCCTATATATAAAGAGAAGGAAAGGGGCGGAGCTAGTTGGTTCCATTCGGCCCCTTCGGTTACGTCTGCCGATTCCCAACCTTGGGAGCCTTTACGTTTTAGGGTTACCTTTGGGGGTTGAGCCCCTGTCCATAAAAAGACGCTTCTGCAGTCTCTGTTTTGCCCTAATTCCTTTCCTTCTTCTATCTTCACCTTCTCTGAAGTCAAGATGATGCAGCCTGGTCCTGGCATGGCTCCCCCAACCATGGGCCAACAGCCTCCTCAGCAATACCCGCAGCAGCAACATCCCTACATGATGATGCCACCGCAGGCTCAGGCGCCACCGATGTGGGCACCCTCTGTTCAACCACCGCCACAGTCGGTCGTTCCACCGCCGACGACTCAAGCCGTCCAACCCGCAAGCGCGGATGAGGTCCGTACTCTTTGGATCGGTGATTTGCAGTTCTGGATGGACGAGAGCTATCTGTACTCTTGTTTTGCTCACACTGGCGAGGTAAAATCCTTTCCTCCTTCTCTTTTGTTTCTTTTTTTTTTTTTGTTTCTCTATTAAAGTTGCCGCGAAATTGGTCGTCGCTTTTCGGTAGAGTATGATATCATTGATGCGTAGCGGAGGTAAGGATTCTCCGCCTTTTTATCAGGTAGGCTTCTTATAGTTTTCCAGCGCCTGCCGTGCGGGTTTAGCTGCAAGATTACGGTTTTCCCTTGTTTAGATCCTGGCTTTTTCTGCTGCTAGATGAGAGACGAACCTCCTAGGAATTTTTTTAGTACCCGCTGTTTAACTTGATGTTAAATAACAAATTAATTTTGGGCGAATAATTATTTATCCCTGCAATGTGTGGAAACGTGGCGGCCTTTTTTTAAAAATTGCTGATCGAAGAGAATTTCCCTGCAGGTAGGCTCGGTGAAAGTTATTAGAAACAAGCAAACTAATCAATCTGAAGGTTATGGGTTTATTGAGTTTTTCACACGCGCGGCGGCTGAGAAAGTGCTGCAATCATATAATGGAACCATTATGCCGAATGGTGGGCAAACCTTTAGATTGAACTGGGCATCTTTTAGCTCGGGTGAGAAGCGGCACGATGATACTCCAGATTACACAATATTCGTTGGAGATTTAGCTGCAGATGTTACAGATTACATGCTGCAGGAGACGTTTCGGGCTAGGTATCTCTCAGTTAAAGGTGCAAAAGTTGTGATAGACAGACTCACTGGGAGGACAAAGGGTTATGGTTTCGTTAGGTTTGGAGATGAAAATGAACAAATGCGAGCTATGACTGAGATGCAAGGTGTATTATGTTCAACGAGACCCATGCGGATTGGACCAGCCACTAACAAAAACCCTGGCACTCAGCCTAAAGGTGCGTCTCTTTCAAAATTGTCTTCTGTGTGGCCTTTTCTTTTGCCAATTTCTGTACCATATATGCTCTTGTATAGAATGTTAAATTGGGTTTCTTTTGATGTTAATAGTTGTAGACTCTTCTTCATGCAGTTATTTGACATTACGTGGGTTTGATTAAGGTTTTACAGTTTTAATTCTCCTGTCATGTACGGGCTAAGTTATGGTCCATTTCAGTTTCGCTCTTGAAGATATGCAGTCCACAATCATTTCTTCCTGTAATTTCGTTTAAAAATTTGGGCCAAGTAAATGATCTTTAATTATAAACTATAAAATCTTATAAAACTCCTATTGTCTCAAAGCAGGGTGTCGAGAGGCTCTGTCATCTCGGAGCCTGGAACTGATTTCATCAGCTGAAATGGTTACCATTTTAGTGCATGGCCTTGTGTAGGTCAGTTCCCGTTTATGTCTTGCCCATTATTTTTGGTCTCATTTTCTTCCCGTCTGCAATTTTCGAGTTATTCTTTTTAGCACATTTAACTCGTTGGTTCTAGCCAATTACAGTGCACGGCTACTCTGGATAGTTTTTTTCTTTCAGTCCGCCACTTTATCTTTGTTCCTTTAATTTCATTCCTAATAGTTTGCCAGAAGGACTACATCATTAAGTTTCTTTGGATACTTTTTTTCTTTCAGTCTGCCACTTTATCTTTGTTCCTTTAATTTCATTCCTAATAGCTTGCCAGAAGGACTACGTCATTAAGTTTCTTTTGCAGCAGTCCCCTGTTGTACGCTGTGTACCTTTTCCCCCCCCATTTGCTCATCTTTTTCATTCAAGTTACATTGATTTCAGCTTCCGGTCCTCAGTCCATGAGAAAATAACTTATTTGTTTAGTGCTATTGCAGACGGAGTGGAATTGCTCCAAATATCTTGCAGAGTGGCTATTGATTCTTTTATTAAGCGATTTTATATTTTTCTTTATTTTTAGGTTCCGTTGCCATTCTGCCCTTACAATTTGTAGCACAGCAGCGTGCAATTTAAGCTTGCTTATATTGCTGTTTACTATTTCCACTCGTCAATTTCTTGTCTGCGCAAACATTTCACGGCTGTCTTCTCGCCAATCTATATGAGCCAATTTAATCTGTTTTTATCTCTGTCTACTGTGGAAAGTCTGAGAGATGTGAAGGCAAGGTCAATCAATGATTTGTAGTGGCGTTGTGTTGTATAAACTGAATTATGTTTCTCCCATTCCCTTATTCATGTCTTAATGTTTGATTTGGGAGGTGACTTTTCCTCACGGCATATTTATCCCCAATAATTCAAATTCTAATAGCGCCAAAGATCTTGCCTTGCTGTCTTTATACCAGATATACCTATTGAGATTACTCTTTTCGAGTTAATTTGGATAATTATTTTATGGTTTGATTAGTTAATGGCTAATATTCTATGCTTATTTAATGCTGATTAACTATTTTTGGTTTCCTATGAATTGTGGCGTATATGGAGCTGATTATTTTGTTTGTTTCTTCTCAATTGCTCTGCATGCACGCTGAGGATTGTGTTTCTTTAGGAATTATTTGTTATTATTATGACTTGTAAGTTTGCATGGTATTTATTGTGACTAGATGTATTCATCAATTTTCTTTGATCATGGTGTTTCTCAATGTCTGCTTCCTTCCCCCGTTTATGCAATTCATCTTTTTACTTTATGTCTGCTCTTATCATGCAGCTTCATATCAGAATCCTCCAGTGGCACAGAACGAGAATGATCCAAATAATACAACTGTGCGTACTACTTTGCAATATGGAATTTTTACTTTCTTCCCTGCATCCTTGTGACCTAATTTTTGAACTGCAGATTTTTGTTGGGAATTTGGATCCTAATGTAACGGATGATCATCTTAGGCAAGTTTTTGGCCAATATGGCGAGTTAGTACATGTTAAGATTCCCGCAGGCAAACGATGTGGGTTTGTTCAGTTTGCTGACAGGTGGAAATTTGCTTCTGAAAGTTGTCTAGCAACGTTGATTCCATGTATATAGCCTTACCATCTCTGTCTTGAATTTTCATGCATCAGGAGCTGTGCAGAAGAGGCACTGAGGACATTAAATGGAACAGTATTGGGTGGGCAGAATGTTCGTCTCTCTTGGGGCCGGAGTCCTTCAAACAAACCGGTAACAAAATTTCTTCTTTCATTATTCCGCAGTGTCTTAAGCATAAATGCCTGTCTGATTCTGACCAATGCATAAATCTTCAGACTCAGCCAGATCCAAACCAGTGGAATGGTGCTGCTGGTGGGTATTACGGATATGCTCAGGGGTACGAGAACTATGGATATGCTCCTGCTACCGCACAGGATCCTAACATGTATGGAAGCTATCCTGCAGGGTACACCAATTACCAACCACCACAGCAACAGCAGCAGCTAGGATATAGTTGAGATTTGAGAACACCCCCTCCCCTGTTCTCTCTTTGTAATCTTGAGGAGTTGGTTACTGCTGTTGCCCCAAAACTTTTCGTGTCTCGGTGTAAAACCGACTTATCTTTCCCTTCTTTCCTTTGTTATCAGAATTAATATGCCATCTCCAGTTGTATCCATCAAAAATTATTTGCCAACCTGCGGATGTTCTAATAATGATTTTGCGCATAACAAAGCAGCATGTTAGACTGGAAGCCCGGCTTTTAGATGCCTAACAAACTCTGCTTCTGAATGTTGGTTTTCCAATGATAGTTTATTCGACGCGTGGACATGCCTCCTGCGCTAGATGAGTGTACGGAATTGGGGTGGAAAAGAATTGCTTTCTGTCGTTGACCTCTGAGGTGATAGGGATGCTTTGGGAATTGTGTTATAACGTAGATGTTTGTTTTCGTTACTTCGATTAGCTTTGCTTACCTGCATCGGGTCGTTGAGGACTGGACTGCGCGCTTGGATCCTCAGATGCTACCGCGAACCTCAGTCAGCTGTGTATGCGGTAAATGGATTGGGCTGAGCACGTATTGGGAATAAATGGGTCGATCAGCTAGGTTCCTTAACAAGAGAAAAGACACGGGAGGCACGATCTCCATTTTAGATCCGCGTGATCCGTGGGGATGTTGTCCCTTTATTTGGTTGTAGTAAGGGAGGAGATTAAAAAAATTGAATGGGTTTTGATTTAACAAAAGTAGGACAGATAGGGTTGAATATTTTTAACGAAGATAAGATGTAAAAGGAAATGGCAAGTAAAATTTTTGGTAAAGAAAATTTTTCATGATACGTATCTCATAAACTTCCATAAATTTTATCGATAGCAGCCTACTTATCTTAGCATTCATTCCTTAACAATTCTATACGAGAGAGATCCTATCAAAACATCATCCAACTTGGGAAACAATGCATATCTCGACTGTTCTCACTTCTTAAGTCCTATCATCTATAGATCAGTCATTGATCCAAAACATCGTACGTTTTCCTCTGACAAGAAAAACCAACAAGAAACAGCAAACATCACCGGGGAAGGAAAATTAAAAAACGCGAAGTCTTCCAACATGGAAGTCAAAACTGAGTAAACCAAATGATAAGCCAACTGTACAAGAGATTTGATAATAACTATGAAACTAAAGCTAAATGCCTACTCCATACCACTAACACTATCAGGGTACAAGCATTAGTGATTTATTCCGGGCTCACACTTCTGTTTTCCTTACAATGCCAATTGTCTTCGATCATTTTCAGCCATAGTTTTCAGACAATGTGCGGTCCAATGGGGTTTTCAGGTTCCACCGACTTAAGTCTCACCTGAAGGTTGAACGTCATCTTCCTTAGTAGTCTCACGTGTATGACCATGGCTCTGGGAATCACTGTTCTCTGGCAAACCGGATCCTTCAGAGCCAAATCTGGAGTCGGATGGGACAGCATCTCTTCCAATTACAGGCTTTCGAGAGTCAGGTTTATCCTCAAGCTTGTCAACAGACTGAACGTTTTCACGATCAGCAGATACAGGCATTTTGTTGAGTTCCATATTCGCGTTCTTTGGTTCTTCATGAATCTGTTGAGATTGCATTGCTTCAGGTTCAGCAGATACAGGCAGTTGGTTGACTTCAATATTGAAGCTCTTAGATTCATCCTGAATCCGTTCAGTTTGCATGGGTTCAGGTACAGCAGACACAAGAGTTTGGCTGACTTCAACATTAAAGTTCTTTGGTTCATCCTCAATCTCCTCAGATTGTATGGGCTCAAGCCCAGCAGGTGCAGGCATTAGGTTGAGTTCAACGTTTGAAGCCTTTGGTAAATCCTGTACCTGTTCATTCAGCTGGACAGAACTTCCAGCCTGCTGTCCAGTTTGCAGCTCCTTGTCAATGTTTTCAATCACTGGAAGCAAGTGGGTGTCTTCAGCTGTTGGCTTAGAATCCTTTTCTGTTCCCCCATCTGCACCGGTTTCTGGTACCTGTCTGCATGTATTAAGTTTGTTCGCATTCTGTTCAACAATTTTGTCACACTCCATCTTCATGATTGATGCAGATTGACTCCCATGCCCAGGATCTGATAAAGCCTGTGCTATTCCTCCCGCGGGAATGGATGAGTCACTTGTTGGAATGTTAGTCACGGGTACTAGAACAGACGCAGATTGATTCTCGAGTGAAACTGAGGCTCCAGAATGGATGTCAGTCGGAAGTACTTGGTCTTTAGAGATAGGCACCAGAGGTTGCGACTCAACGGGTTGTTTGCTACCTTGACCTGATGGGGGAATAGAACTTTGCATCTGAGCCTGTGGGTTAAGAACTGGAATTGGAAAATCTTTCCTTTGCATCATTTCAAGATGAGGAGCCACATCATTTTCAGGAGTAACAGGAACATATTGCCCTGGTTGAAATACGACACCTCGTAAATAGGTTGGAGAGTCTCCTATCCGAACATTAAGGAGGTACCCACCACCAAAACAACCCTCAATGACACCAGTAACCACCTTCCCTAGCATTTCCTCATTGGCACAACCAGTTGTGCCCGCTGTTTGGGTGGGAATGATCACATTGTCAGGGACACTTCTTACAGGCGTGATGTCTGCCTGAACTGTGCTTCCTTCTTTGCGGGGTCGCCCACGTTTCCGCTTCGCTGGAACACTCGATGGATTTGAAGAGCCTGGTCCTTGGTTTTGTTGGTACATCTTCCAGAATTAGATGTTAAGACAGGTCGATGAAAAAATCTTCCTGCAAATCATGAAATTACCATAAGATATTACTTTATGTTTTTCTGGGAAGAAAATCACGAAGGCATGTACCGTTTGTTTGAATAACTAAGATGGTGCCAAAACGGTAAAATACATAAATTGCGTTGGGCCTTTTAAGTAAATTTCCCGAACAACTATGAAAGTTGAAGAATAAAAAACTGTGATGCTATAGATGACATTATAGTAACTCAATTTGAAGAAGCAAGCCAAAAAAAAAAAAAATGAAGTAACAGGGATCACAATGCAATTAAGGAAGGGGTGATAAGCAGCAGAAGGTTTTCAAGGACCTTCATCAGTCCTTTTCTTGCCCAATTTGTAGTGAAGTGAAGCAAGATTAGCCATGACAAGCATAGTGCAATAAAAAAATAGAAAAAGTAACACCGTCAGTGTATCTTAATTCGTAAAAAAAATATTTGAGATTCCTCAGCTTACTCTCAGTGAATGACAGAATAAAGTTTTCATATTTCTTGCAAATATGTTAACCAATATAGGCATGTAGCTAAGATAAGGCTTAAACTATGAGCGGATAGTTAAAGAAAATAAACAGCAGAATAATTCAATTTCTATTACCCATCAATATTATGCAAAAATCAACAAACTGTTGCTCAAGCAACTAGTGGTTTCGACATCAAATAAAGCACATATAAAGCTATGAAGCAGAACAATGATTTTGGTGATCTTCTATTTTAGTTCATTCTCAAAGAAAGTAGCAGCACTTAAATAGTTTAAATTCAACTAGTGGTTATGCTGTGCAGACTTATTTTTGGTTGGGGTGAGGGGTTTGGGGTGGCATAGTTATTAATCATGTGTCGCACACTCCTAGCACACTCCTAGCACAAAGGTGCACAGAGTGTATTGTCGCACGAGCCACATGAAAATGCAGCAAACAGGTTTTAATAAAAATCAGAACACAATTTTGTAATAATTAGAATATGGAACCAAATTTACATTAAAACACACACACACACACCCCGCCATAATGATTTATGAATCACAATATCTAGTACCTAAAACGATCAATGCTCAACAAAAAATCTTGAGTCTATGCTTTAGCCTAAGTTACCAGTATCCCAATGATCATCATGCAATCCCTCAAGTTCCTCTCATCTTTTGAGGAGTTTCTTTGTCCACCTTGCAAATTAACCATCAATCTGTTTAAAGAGATTGGGTCAATGGTATCTCAAGAACTCAATTTTTGATTGTGCATATTTATCTGTAGCACTTCTGGCATGAATCACAGCCACACAAAAAATATCTTCTATAGCACAGATACAGCAGATCTACAAGAAAGTTGCCAGGCTACACATGTAACAAAGAAACGAGCTGCATCACCAAGGCTCAAATTAGTGCTGTCAGTAATATGGGAAAGGTGATAAAGAGTAGACTCAAATGACTATAACAAAGTTCAACACTCAGCAGTCATAATTTTTAATGAGACAAGATATCACATTTCAGCTCAAAAAGGCATTGGCATATGACGGAAACGAAGGTAATGTGAAAATTCTAAGCATCAAATTAAGATGAGATGTTCAGTGGAGTTTAGTGGATTGGTCCTTTCACCTTGATATATGGGAGAGTTCTCACACCACCAGTGTCCATTAACTGGTATTAAAGTAAATGGTCGGCGACTTTAAAAAAGGCTCCCTGCGAAGGGTTTTGACCAACAAGGAAGTTGAATGAAGTATTGCAAAATGTAGTTGTTGAGGAACCAGCTCTCGGAGGGTGATCAATTGATGGAAACCAAGGTAATATGGGATGCACAAGTTCTACATTTAGTAGTATGGGATGTTTTACAGGATACTTGGCAAGGTGATTCTCCCACCTCAATAACTAGCTTTAGGGAGAGAGTTCCCTGCCCTGCCTGCGTGTTCATCAGTATCACAATTTCATCTTAAGAGATAGGACAAATTAAAGAAATGATGATTTAAACAAAGAAGTCTGACTTGAGCAAGGCCACTATGATCTTTAATTACATCTCAAGATAAGGTCTGATTCAATTATATTATCTCTGAAGAGCTTCAACAACAAGGTAAGATAGCTATGAACAATCTAATGTGCCTTATAATCACAATGGAATCAATAGCAGCATTTCTTGGCTGGTGTCTTGTATCAATAGGTTCACAATGCAATAAATACTTAAAGCCTGCCACAGAAAGATCCCGCACAACCACCAAATTTCAGAACATGAGATCAAAGAAACCACAAAAAGAAAGTTGTATTCAAATGACAACATTTCGGTGAAGCTTACCAAATGAATGAAAAGTGGAGCCATGGAGATTTTTAAATAGAGAGAGAGATAACCAGACAATGAAATAGATAATTAAAATAAAATCTACAGCAACAACAGCATTCATATATTAATTTCATTGATGTTAGTAACAAACAACACAAACATCAATAACAATAACAGCTCTTTTGATTCCAGCCTCCAAACATAAGCATAGACATTAGGGATTTCTTATTTTGTTATTTCTCTTTTTGAGGACAAGAATAAGAGAAGATGCAGACTGTATTTGCATCAGACATAAACATGACATGCATTGCATCACAATTTTATTTAAAAGAAAAATAAATACAAGGGAGTAGTAAATAAAATTTTAATGATGTATTATTTGCAAAAATTTCTTGGAGTGTGAATACAACAGTAGTAGCAGCAACAGCAATAAGCCTTATCCTACTAGTTGAGGTTGGTTATAAAGATCGCAAAATGCTATTGTACTCTATCAACAACCAAATCCTTGGATAGGTTATTCATCAAGAGGTACCCCATTCAATGACTTCATTGAGCATTCTCTTAGAGATGCAGATATTCAAGATAAAATTTCCCATAATATTCATAGGGTTTCTCTAAATAGCTCCAAGAGTTAATTATCATAGTTAAAGACATAAACAAGAACACCAGATCTCCAGGAAATCTCATTCATTGTAAATTTGCAACTTCTGTAAGTACAACAAAGAAAATACCAAATCGTCTTACCAAATAAAAATGGTATAAAATAAGAGACGCTTGAACTACGAATCTCTTAATTTTTATGCTGTTGAAAGATCATTGATCACTCAGCCGTCATATCAGCATCAAGTACCCTAAAGCAGATCGCAGAAGAAAGGGGAAGTGAAAACCTAGGAAGTAACCGCAGTGCAAAACCCCTAGACTCTCAACCAGTGACTATTCATAGTAGAGGATGCTTGATGCCAGAGAAAAACCTACCAAGGAGTTACAATTCACAATTATGCTTTTAGAATACTCTAGAATCCAACCCAAAAATGTTGGCTGTGAGAGAGCCCAAGTATGTTGCTGGTTCTATCATTATTCTCTCACAAGCACCCTTAAGCGGAATTCCTTCACTCCTTTGAGCTTGCAGCAAAGGCATTGCACAGGCCCATTTTCACGTTATGTTGAAACTTAATTTATGTACGAGAGTGAGGGTGCAAGGATCAAACTATAGGCCAGCTGGTCAAAAAGGCTTATATAGCATACCAAAGAACCAATGCAACTAGAAAGCCTAAGCAGTTAAGAGAAAGCACTGGAATTTGTTTCATATCTCTAAAACAAGGTCTGCATACTGCATACAGCCGTAATGTGCATGGCCAAGGCATGATAAGATAAGAGCCTGCAAATATAGGCTCATGCCAAGCCTATCAGAGACCAGTTCTTTAACCATAGTTATAATAGTTAAACGATTGATCAAGTGAGGGAAAATCATTTCAACAACATTGAATCAAGTGGATATGAGAACCAGATATTCACAATATTTTGCTGGATAAGGTCAATTAATGATCATGATTCAAAATAATTGAGTCAGCAATCAACATTTGGAAATATCAGTCCAACGTGTAGCTTGTTACCACAATCATATGCATTAAAGAGCATATCTCTTTCCATATTTTGACTATGAACAAGAAGATATTAACTACATAAGAGACTTCAACATTTTAGTCCTCAATCTATTTTTGAAAACAGGTTGAGGCAAGTTTTATGGAAATTTACATGGCATATGCATACAAACATGAAGTTAATAAAAAAGGTCTTTTATGCTACCACTTTTAGCGTCCATTATTCTCTGTGCCAGTGCATCTGTGTCTATCTTGCTCAAAAATGTTCAGCATACACTGCCTAATGTCGTCTTTCATTTCAAGCAATAAATGCATGTAAAACTTATAAATTTCTGCTACGTTTTCAATAAATTCCATAAATAAGCTGATTACATAAATTAATGGTTAATAAGACAAGGAAATTGATTGCGCTAGAACCTGATAAGAAAATCATACTTAGATTTAGTAAAGTACTACAGTAGAACATGATCACATCTCTGTGCTTACCAACTCTGCTAGTTCCAGGAACTGATTCCCCCCAGTGGCTGCAGGATTTTGCTTGGTTCACAGACTCTGCTACAATAAGGAGAATGAGTAGTGTCAACTAAAGTTAGCCAAAAATTGTGTCTATGAGCTCTCACAAAACAACTTTTGAGGAAAGGAAACCATAATTTTACCTCCTCAGATAAATGCCTCATTTGGACAAACAAATTTTCTTTGGCCAGAATTAGACTCAATTTGGAAATCATGTATGGCAAGACTTACAAAGGTCGAAAACAAAATGACTACTTCAATTTTACAACTCAAATTATCACTGACTGATATTTAGAAATGGACCATGATTTACTTAATACAAGCAGGTTCAGCCGTTCAGGACAGCTATTGGAAAGGCACATTCCTATGATTTGAATCTTTACGTTCTGAATTTATTGGCCAAAGCTAAGTAAATTCCATGTTTTTCTGATAGAATTACCTTTGCAGCAACAAGATGGTACTATTAGCAACAGTAAATAAAAATGTGGGAGAAACTACCTGTTTAGGAAAGTTAACTAATAGAATGGGGAAAGTAACAGAGGATACAATATAAAGAATCGGGAAAAACAGTAAAAGATAGCATGCAAGAACACGGGAATCGAGCATGTCCAAGACTGTATTCTCAACCATATGAAAAGAAATTACTGTAATATGTAGCATAGCAACACATTATGTATCGTGAAATTGCATGGCTGATACGTGTAAAAGTTCAAGAAACAGAAGATACCATGGTGCTATGCATAATTGTGATTCAAAATGTGCGTGCCGGAAATAAGGGAAAAAGGAAATAATGTGCGTGCCTCCCGCTGCTGCTCTTTACAAATGCCAGAGAAAGAAAAGATTGTACCGACGATAGATAAATGCAGTTAGCAAGTAATACTCACATGTTGATTATGGAGCAACGCAGGGACATTCGGGAGAAATGGGGTTCACCGGAGATTAATCAACCCGGATCAAGGAAACGGTGAAAGATTCTATTCTTGATTGCTTATTGATTCGCTTTCTATATACACTTCTTCAGCTTGCGTCCGTGGCTCAGCGATGGGAAATTAACTGAAACTTCACCGACGAAACAGAATTTGTGATGGGTTGTTATGAATTGGCAATTCGGTGTACACCTCGCCGGCTTATGATTCAGCTTCCGAGGAACGTGGAGAATATATTAATTTCTTATATTTCATGTCATATTTATTTCCTTTACATCCAAAGAAATAAATGAAAGGAATTAGCAATATCAATTTAAAAAATAAGAGTAAAGGAAAATAACAAGAGTAAGAAAAAGAAAATCAATAAATAGCACACACAAATTGCAAAAATTCAAAAATCATTTTTTTAATTAATGAACCATGGGGAGAAAATCAAGAACAAAAATAAGCTTAAGGAAAAGGAATCATTTTTTTTTTTGGATGAGAGAGAAAAAGTAGTTTTCCCAAATTTTCAATCAACGGACGGAGAGAATTGGAGGAGAAAAGTCATTTTCCGCCTGTGCCCCTTGCCCTCGCGCGCCAAACTTTCTTCTTCGTTATCGACTGCGCGAAAGTCGAATTCGAATCAGGCCTCTCCTTCCAGTCGACCTCCGCTCTACCTCAGATTGGTGCTTCCAGTCAGCAGACCACGATGGTCGTCTTTCTTGCGGCGTCTTTGTGTGCGTCCCCACGGGCCTGGTCTCGCAATCAACTCGTCGTCAAGCATTCTTCGCTCAGGTGTGTTTCCTTCCTTGCTTATCCTTCTCAGATTTTCTCCATTAACAGTGATGATTTGAGGAATGGGAATCTATGTAGTTTGTGAAACTCTGCCCCTTCTCAGATTTCTTATCCTTCTCACTGTATGATTTGATTTTGTCAATCATCTGAGTGAAGAATGTATATGTGGAAATGGCGGTGATGACTCTCGGTTTTGATCACGCTTCATAAGCCTATGTTTCTCTAAACTTTTAGAGACCAAGCAGTAGATTGGTGAAGTGTTCTGGATCCCCATTTATTGAAGCCACACTTCTTTCTTTCATGTTTTCAGGTTAAACTTTGAAGAGTTGCTGTTTGTCTTCATTTCTTCAGCCTTGCCCATGTATTGAAGCTCAAATTAATTCTATTCTCTGGACCTTCTTTGCTTCTTTGGTAATTTGCTAAAGTAAGATATATCCCAAGAATTTTGCCCATCTGCGATTGATTTCTTATCGTTACCTGGACTCTTGCCCCTTTCGAACTCGCCCATAAGGTGTTTGATAAATGTCTTGAGTGAAGAAAGCAATATTTCTGTTTAATGGCAAACAGTAAATATGAGTATGTGAAGTCATTTGAAGTTGAGGATGAGGTGGTGTTTCCTAATCTCATTGTTGTTTGGATCAATGGTCGTAACTTTGAAAGGCTTTCCAAAATTCATGATTTTGAGAAACCATGTGATGAGAAAGCTCTGCAATTGATGAATTCCTGTGCTGTTTCGGTGCTTCAAGAGTATGCAGACATTGTTCTAGCATATGGGTTCAGTGATGAGTTCAGCTTTGTCTTCAAGAAGAGCTCCAAATTCCATGAAAGGCGAGCTAGTAAAGTTTTATCCATAATCACATCTTTCTTTGCATCTGCGTACGTAAGAAAGTGGAGTGAGTTCTTCCCGCAACGGGAGTTAAAGTACCCTCCTTCCTTCCATGGAAGGGTTATAAGTTGTGCATCCATTGAAGTCCTTCAGGCATACCTTTTGTGGAGGCAAAATATCTGTCATGTTAAGAATCAATATGATCAATGCTTTTGGCGTCTTGTCAAACGGGGAATGACTGAAAAGCAGGCACAAAATTTTTTGGAGGGTGCTGAGAAACATGACAAAAATGATCTCCTGTATGATGAGTTCAATCTCAACTATGCTGCCCTTGAGCCTATATTTCGCCAAGGCTCGTTTGTTGCAAAAACTGTAGTGGAAGATATTGTGAAGTACAAGGCGAATGGTGATCCCATCAAGAGACCAAGGAGAAAGATCATTACGGTGCATTCAAAGAAGATTGCTAGTAGAAGATTTTGGAATGATATGAGTACGCTAGTAAAGGAGCTTGGTGGGTTTGTGGAGGAGATTGATAATGTAAAATCAGAGTATGTAAAGTCCTTTGAATTTGACGCTAAGTTGATGCCATTCACATGGATTGTGGTCAGAATTGATGGGTGTCACTTCCACAAGTTTTCTGAAACACATGAATTCATGAAGCCGAATGATGCAAGAGCTCTTAATTTAATGAACCTATGTGCGATGGCCGTGTTAGAAGAGTTTCAGCCGGATGTAGTATTTGCCTACGGGGTTAGTGATGAGTATAGCTTTATTTTCAAACAAAGTACTTTCTATATCAAAGGAGAGCTAGTAAAGTTGTTTCTGCTATAGTTTCATTCTTCACATCTATGTATGTAATGAAGTGGAAAGACTTTTTTAAGGAAAAAGAATTGAAGTACCCTCCTTCTTTTGATGGAAGAGCGGTGTGCTATCCATCAAGAGAGATTCTTCGTGACTATCTTTCGTGGAGGCAAGTGGACTGCCACATCAACAATCAGTATAACTCTTGTTTTTGGAAGCTTGTTGCTTTGGGGAAAAGCAAGAAAGAATCCCAGAATAGTTTGAAGGGGGCTCAATTGCAGAAAAGACTTGAGGAATTGGAAATTGACTATAGTAGTTTGCCTATAATGTTCAGACAAGGATCCTCAGTTTTCTGGAGCGAGAGAGGCAAGTTTCTCAAGCATCAAGAGAATGAAGAGTCTTGTGAGAGTCATAGAAAAGTCATTGTAGAACACTGTGATATCATTGGACCAAGGTTTTGGCTAGAGCACCCAAGCATCCTTGACGGGAAGTAAGCACATGTGCGAACGTTCTTCCCAAATGTAATTGTCGAATCTGTGGCCCGAAGGTAGAGCAGGGTGTGACTCGAAATTCAATTATCAGAGTGACACTAGATTTCATTGCTAAGGGATTTTGGTATTATTTATGTCACTTGGGAAGCAAGAAATGATATGGTACATGGAAAAGGCCTAATGGGCCACAGGGAAGCTCTATCAGTCATCTCACACTATCTTTCTTATATTCCCCCCCCCCCCCAAAAAATTTTAGGCAAGCAACCTCCTAGCAAGCGGCGAATTCAATCCACTCCTACATATTGTATCTGGTTTTCAAAGGTTGAACGTCAAAAGTTTCTGATTTACCAAGGGGTTAGATCACCCGTAGGCAGAGGAATTTTTGCACTAATGGGGAAAAAAATTCTTCGAGCTAAAGTTGTTGCCTTGCACCTCTCTCGAGGAGCTGGCAGTTTGTACGAAAGTGGTAGCAACCTTGCATGTTTTCCGTAAGTTTCTGGGCAGGCTTTATGATTTTCACATAGATGATATAGAGAGGGAGCCGATTGTTTTGATTGTTAAATCGGATGCGCAATATCGTCCCTTTAGGTGGAATCTCATGGGATATGATGCCATTCAGGAGGACACTCTTCAAATGTCTAATGCTTTCTCTGGTTTGTAGTGTGCTGTTTGTTGTATGTATCAAAAAAATTAAATTAGAAAGGAAAGCAATTGCGGGCGTAAATGATTTTTTTTTTTTTTTTTTTTGTCAACTGAATGAATGCTGGAAAAGCCATTTATGATGGGGAGGAGGTAATAATTCTTCTTAAATTATTAATCATTGATCCAGATTAATGTAGAAGTTAGCATGGAAAGATTGAAGAAGGAATCTGTTACGAATTCTGACGATGATTGTGTTAATTTGGCCATAAGTCTGCATTTTGAGAACAATTATTCGCTTCTGCACCTATATAAAATTACTAGTATTACTCTTATTATTCATACTCGCAAAGGTTTCGGTGTATAGATGGCTCAATAAAATTGAGCTGATAGAAGTTTGAGGGATTTTAGTAGTCAGGACCTCGACACACTGATAAATCTCTTTATGCTAACTCTATTTCATGTATTTTCTCAGTGTTTTTTCTCGTCACTTGAATTCTACGAAGACATTTTTGTTAAAGTTGTCTTATAATTATTGCAGTTGAGAGTGAGAGGAGGTACAATTAGATTAAAATTAACAGATGGGAATAACACCTACTGGGGCAAAAAAAAAAAAAAAAGGAAACAATTTTTTAAATAAATTATTATTGTTCAAACTACATGAGACTAGTTCAATTTATGATTAAAAAAAATAGTTGTTTAACTAATTTAAATAATTTAAGGGGTCAAAAATGTAAACCGATCATTTTTTTCCCATGTTAGTAAATCGATTAAATTGTGTTTTAAAAACGATTACATTAATTGAATGATTATAATGTATTCAAAATAATCAATTTTATTTTAAAAAAATTTAAAAAAAACCAGGCGTTAAAAATGCCTTCGACCTCTTAACGGCAAAAAATTCCTCTCACAAAGGTGTAGTTACCAAAGCTGCCTCAAGTGAATGCTTCTGCCTATGAAAGTGATATATCATACTACACGCAGGGCCATCCATACCACATTTATTAGCACAGCTGCCTCTATATCCCACCTTCATGCAAATAGTTGTGCATAAAATAAGCAAGTACAATAAATAAACTGCAATTATTGGGGTCAACATAACTTCGTTTAAATTAGCAATATTGTTCATGTAATAAATTAGCAATCCCGTTTATTTGAAGCCACCTTGCATGCAATATACTTTAATTTAACCAAATAAATTATGTGACCCCAAGTTTGTGGACCTAAATCCTCTGCCTGAGACAGTTTCTCAATCCAAGCTTACGCAGATGATGTCCAACTTGTCACTTTCATGTGTGAAATTATAAATATCCACAATAGCTAAGCTTTAAACTTTCCTTTTCCTTCAGGACAAGAAATGCAGGCTCTTCTGAAGCCTTTGTTTTCTAAGGAAGTTTCTATTTGGTGGAAGTGTTTAATACTCACATCGGTGGAAAATTAAATATACATTTAGCATAAAATTTTATTGTTTTATTTCATAATATTTTATTTATTTTCTTATTCATTAAAATACTTAGAAGTAGTAGCAGGACAAATTGTATAACAATGTGAGAGAGCTCATACTCTGCTATAAATATTACTGTCAAAGTGGTTTTCATTTGTACATCCTCACATCATTTTCCTGTCTGTTTTATCAGAATATGGCCATTTTGCTGAAGAAGTCATTGGCTTATTCCAAGATGGAGAAGGAAGACCCAGAAGAGATAATTCACAGAAGAGCCCAGTTCTTGATTTACAAAGCGTTGGAGCAAGCAGATGCTCAGAGAAAGACTTCGTCATGTTTGGGAGTCGGAATCTCAAAGATCAAAGTCAAGATTGGGAGTAGAATGAGGAAGATGAGGAAGAGAATTGCGCGGCACTTGAAATCATGGAAAAGGTTCTTTGGAGCAAGAGGAAGACAAGTCTGTGTTATAAAAGCTCCTCCTCTGTTCAACTGATATATCACCACATGCTATGCTTGCTGTAATTCATGAAATTAAAAACATGGTGCGTGTAACGCACTTTTTCTTTAGTCTTTTGAAACCCAAGTCAAGAATGTCAAGAAAAAACTTGCAATAGTGATGCCCGATAAGAATTTAGAGAGAATCAGAAACTCATGCACATTAGAATTTTCACTTTGGTATTTAATCAAAACAAGAGGGTGTAATTATTCCCCTCATTTTTTGATATATATATTAAAGTCATTGAGATTAATCTCCTGGATTTATTTTTTGTTATCATGCTTGCTAATTGAGTTATTGGCCACATGTCATCAGTTTATTAAAGATGATTTGTGATGAGATTTTGCGTTGATTCATATGATTAAAGCCCAAAAGTGGTGATGTGCTACGGTATTATTGTTGCTATTGTCCCTTTAGGTATCATCCTACTCGTGTAGATTGGCCAGATCCTAGAAATATAATGAGAAATTCAAGCATCCTTGCATGAAAGTAACATATCAAATGCCCCATCACTTTTTTCGGCCTGAGACATTACTGCTCTGTGTGTAACAGAGTAAAGTAATCTTATGATTTGGGTAAAAAGGCAAGACTTGAATCCTGAAATCATGAAATGAATACATGACCTTGAAAAAAGAAACGAATTTGAAATTTGAATATCAAATTCAACAGTTCTGTTTTATAAAATGAAATCCAAAATAAAGTCTCTGCAACAAGAAACAGTGACCACTCGTCTGCATTAAATGCGTACATCAGTAGCTGGAGACAGATGGACGCTTTTAATTCAGTAAAGTAATTGCAATGCTATCCACAATTTCACAAATGTATTTGGTCGGCCAACTAAATCCTGCAAGAGCCCCCCTTTATTAACACATGTAGGTCGGTTAACTTCTTAAAGGTAATGAATACATTTGGCCCCCCAAAGAGATTTCATCAATTAAGAAATTCACACTTCTCCACAAACAATCCATAAAACACGAGTTTCTTTCTTCTAGGTAGCACTTACAGCAAAATCTTACATTCATTGAGCCTACGTGGAAGAGTGCACATTGAGGAGAGAATGAGAATTTAACCTGAACGTAATCCTAGAACACCTCCAGTCTAAGCATTGAGAGAGAGGACTATTCTGCCGAGTCATTCTCTCTGAAAGCTTAAGTGAACATGATCCAACTTCAATAACCAATACACTTAGAAAACTTTAAGCATCTCATGTGTCCTTAGGGAAGTTAGATCAAATTCAGGGAGACGAAAAAATTTGTAACCTCATTGAGATATTGCACTTCACAAGATGACAATAATACTTAATAGATGGTCACAGGTTTGCGTCTCAATCTCAACAAGTTACCGTATAACCTATAATTCCCTAAGTTTCCTATACACAGTTTTATTACACAAGCATGCAAGAATCATGAATTAACAATATCAGAAACAGATCTCTCTCCCCAGCAGACTAATATTCTACTACCAAAACCCGTCAGACTTGGATGACAATTAACCTTTTGGATTAACACTCACCCAGAAATAACTGTACTCGAAGGACTAAGAAGGCTGCATTAAGCAAGGATGCCCTTGTAATTAGCCACGTGTCATGAGGAGAAGGGAGAAAGCGAAAAGCATAGGAAACAGCACATAATCACTTTGGAGGCCTGCGAAAACACCAAACGAAGTTAAGCAGGCATGAGGGGGAAAAGCAAGAAGAAGAAGACCACCAAAATACATCTGTAACAAAGATCTGGTCTTCATTAAAAGGCTTAAATCATCACTTATAAGTTTAGTTCCTGAGAAAATGCGCAATTGAGTCATTTGGGTTCTATTTAGTCATTTTGTTAGCTCACCAAAAGATTATTGACCTCAAAATCAAGGAAATCAAGGACTTATCAGTACATCATCGTTACAGGGACAACATCAAATTAGCACTATCTTCCGAGGACCAAACTGTGAATTTAGACCACTGTGAGCAAGCCAGCTTACAATTCCCAATCTACTCTATATTTCCTTTAAGGTCTATATATATCTGACTATAAGAGGTTATTACTCAGGACTCCAAACAAGCATATGTTTCAGCATAAGCTATAAGCTATGTGTAAGGACTTCCATTAGATTACGGAATAAATAACTCATTGCAAGGTGCTCTTACAGCTTTGGCCATTTGCTGCTGCAGGCAGGGCAGGAATGTTGACAGCTGTAGATCCAAAAAATTAAAATTAAATGTTAACACAATAAATAAAACAAATTGCAGAAAATGGATACTAAAAGTTTTAAAATAATCAGAAATCCTCCAGAACGTTAGTAAATAATTATATTCCAGAAAGTTATGAAATATTTATAGCTCCTCTAAAAAGTCGTGAAATAATTAGAACCTCTCCAAGAAAACAACTCCGTGTCTGCTCTTCACCCCCTCTCTTAAGGGGAATAAAACCAACCAAAAAAAGGTTTGCTACTTAAAATCATCCGTGCTTTCAACATGTTAAACATACTCTTATTGCATGCTGAAGTCGCCAATTGAGATGTAGAGGGCCAAGGTGCCGGAATATTGTCATTTAGATCACAATTGAAGCTAATCCCGGTCGTATCTAATGTTAAATCTGAAGGCAAGCTAGGCAGCAGACAACCAGCCTCTGTTTGAAGAAAAAACGAAGCAAGTCACATGGGCATAGAACTCTATACACAACTGTACAATAATGAACACTTCAATATCTTTTCTAACAAGTCAGCAAGTCTAAAATGCATTTTGACTTAAGCTCAGGCAAACCCATTCCCTTGAAATAACAAGACGCTAAGATATTATTTGTAACAATGCATCGTAATTTGAATACGGTACCTTGAGTATTAACTGAAACATCCACATGGTTGACTTCCGCATGATGTTGAATTGGTAGGATGAAAAGAAAAAAATAGGAAAATTAGATTAAAATATACACACATAAGCATGAGAATTAAGTCTTTCCATTTCGCCAGTCAACAGAATCAGAGAATTAAAACTAACCTTGAAGGGAGAAATCCTTGAGACTAACACGGCAGAGGCTATAAACATCTTCAGCAATATTTGATTTTTTTAGTTTCATGGCCAAAGTCTCTGCACAATCCAAAGCTTGTAAGTTTGTGATGAAGCTCTGCCTTTGCAGGTGAGACACGTACACTCCCATGGAGTCACAGCAGGCTGTCTTGTTTTTTATCCCATCTCCACAAGCCTTGGCGACGTGTCTTACATCAGGCAAAACCAGAGGGCAAACTGAGGCAGAAGATAATATAAGATCTGAGTGAAGGAATTCAGTACCACAAAGGGCTAAACTCTCCATACAGTAGCATTCATGATTCATAATGACATTAAAGGCAGCAATAACACCATTTGAAACTATTTAACAAGCCAGCCAGTATCCACCAAAATCACAAACATGATGAATATTATACATGTGCTTAGAGAAGATAGGAAAAGACAACCAGTAGAAGCAAAACAATTGACATGCACAAGTGGATGATGACGTCCCAAAAATACTCGAACCATATTTTTTCCAGAGATAATCTTTCTCTAAAAGCTGACCTCATAAGTTTAGAGTCAATCACATACTGATTACATCTTTTGTTTGGGGAATCCACCCCCAACTCAAAATCTATATAATCTTTAGTGCATCAACATGATGCAACATTCTATTCTAACTCACCTTTGTTAACATTGCAATTAGATATTCCTCTGAGAATTTTCTTAGCATTAGAAGGGTCAAGCTCACTAGCAAGCCATCGAAGTACAATACTTCTACAATCATTGATCCGAGTTGAGTGCTCAGGTAGGACGTGTGGCCCATCTAAGCCCAAGAGATCAGATCCTTTTGATGCAATTTTTGTAGCTGCTTCTAATACAGCATTCTGACAAGTCTGATCACAGCATTCTTTAATAGGATCAATTTTCTCACAAGCAAGAAGAAGCTTAGAAGTGTCCACTATGTCATGAAACTCATTTACGTCTTTGACCGGGCAAGATGCTTCAGTGAGATTTAAAGAATGAATTGAACACATCTGTGTCAGACTATGTTTGGCACCTTGGGCAGTCAAAATCTGCTTTGCATCTGATAGGCAATATTTAGCAAGTCTCCTGTTCAAGGCAAGCATGTCTGTATGCTTGCTAGATTGCCCAATGAGAATAGAGAGAGTGGCTTCCAGCTGGGGACAACATATTACATTAGCTACCAATGGTGCAAAACTTTCCAAGCAATCAATTGCTGTCACGCTCATCAAGCTTTCAGAAGCAGTGAAGTTCAAAGGGCAAAACCCTGTAACAGGCAGTCACACACAAAGACGACAAGAGAGAGATAATCAAATCCAAGATGTAACAGATATTTCCATTCAAGCCTTAAAATACCAAAATACAACTTCACAATTTAGAGGAGAACCTGATAACTTTGGGGTTGAGGTATTGGTGAACGGAACTAATGGTGAAGGTGCAAGGAGAGGGAGAAGAGGCTGCGGAGCACCCAGAGGAGGGATTTCAGGGATCATGGAACCCACATGACTATCCATTTCTATAGGATCTTGATGGCCATCTAAGATACTCCGATGCAGCTCATGGGCACCTGTACCAAACATGAGCAAGAAAAAAAAAAAGGAATCTCTTTTTTCTCTGATCCTCAAGGACAAATTGGCAGGAAAAATAACATACATAGAATCATAAACTTATCTGTAAAGATTCATATATGTTTATATTTCTGTCATCTTAGAGTTACAAAATAATACAAGCCACGAATCAAATGCTGGATTTTGCAAACAAGAGGGCATCAGAACATAGCTCAGAGGCAAAGGGACACGCAAATTTCACTAAAATTAAATCATAGCTATTAGTCTTTTCAGCAGAGATGCACGTCATCAACTCATTTGTGAATAATGCTCGCAGATAAAATGTTCCAGATAATTTGGTTTTTCTGTTCCAATGGTTCATGTGGCATTCCAGTGCAAACCCAATCAAAGAGATATCTCAAACAGCAGAAAACACAATGCTTCAATATAATTGACACAATATCTTTTTAGATGAGAAGTATGAAACAGAATGCTAGTTCACTGAGCTGAAGCAGAGGACCAGGATCACAACGAATGATAAGGCTAAACAGTCCACATTCAAAGTCCAGAATAGGTAAAAGCCACCATTAAAATAGAGGCGCTAGTTGATCTACTAGAGAAGTTTTATAGTAAAAGGAGTGCGCTCAGGTAATCCATGTTAAATTTTCAAACACATGGCCCTGGCTCTGCCATTTAGTAATTTGGCTGGTACTCCGGAAGATGAACTCCCCGCACTAAGCGCTTAATTGAGAAAGCCACATACTAAAGTGATAGTTTTCATTTCAAATTTTTAGCGCTCTAAATGTTACGTATTTGTATAGCTTATTTTAATGGAAACTAGTTCCCAACTTAAATTATGCGAGCATGGATAACTACAACGTCAGCCAGCAGAAGCTATTGACAAAGAAGTTTTCTCTACTGTAGGGAAAACAATGTTCCAAACCCTAACTCTGCTTACTTCTTAACAATCCCACTTTACCATATTCAACATTAGATGATAGCAAAGAAAAGCTGAATCCAGAAATTAAAACTCAACAAAGATTCAAAAATGCAAGTGAGTAGAGTTCAACTCAAGTAACTCGAAATAAATGATATTTCCTGAAGTATCTCCTATCTCCCAACCCACACTCATGCTGAGTCCTCCAAAGAAAATTTAAAAACGAAGATCCACTAATTTTCCCAACAAAAACAAAAACACGTCTCTTAGATTTTCGCCAGCATACAGCAGCGCAACAATAGTCGGACACTTCAGAAATCTTACAGATCACAAGAATTTGAAGAAAACCCAGCAACAAAGTCTGCGATCAAGCGTAAAGCACTTACCAGTAGCCAGAAGAAACAGCTGTACAAGAATGAAGTGATTAAGAGCAAGTTTAAGCAACACCATTTCCTTCAAGCCCACCACTTTACAACACCCAGTTAGGGAAACCAAACAACTCAGCAAGTTAATGCAAAGGCAAAGAGTAGGTACCACAAACCAAAGGCCTGCGAAAATGTATATGGCATTGAAGAGGAGTTAGAACTTAGAAGTGGGTGAATAAGGAGGAAAGAAAAGAAGGGAAAAAGGAAGAGACTGGACACGGAGAAGCCATGAATGAGAGGTTTCAAAGTTGGTAGGGACTATGGCAGGCTCAGTAATAGCTGTCTCTTCACAGATTGAGAGACAGAGAGGGTAGACCCCACCATGAAAATTGGAACTCAGATAGGAGCTGCGCTACCGCATTAACGCCATTAACACCTTTCAGCGATACAGGAAACTACTACCGCCGTATGCCAGCGATTATTTTGCACGCGGGCGTAGCACGCTTGAAGAGACTCGTACGTGTAGCGCACGTTTCAAGGCTTTTGAAAGTCAAACAGTGAAACAACTGCACATTTGTAAATTGCAAAACGGGTTTTCGTTTTCGTTTTCGTTTTCGTTTTCCGTTTTGGCGGTAACTAATAGGAAAGTTGTGCCAACGGCGATTCCCGGCGTCAGAGTCTCCATCCGTTGCTGACTTGCTTGTTCTAGAAGACTTCCCTCCACTGTTACTTCGCATTATTATTATTTTTTAATAGCGCTTTCATCGATCTCCTTATAAATATATATATAAATTCTCTAATAACATGTAGTCGTACAGCTTCCTTTTAAATATTATCATTTAATTATAAATATACATATAAAAAATAATAAAATGTATTAATATATGTGATTAAAAAAATTGACAAAATAAATATAAATAACTTGATTTTAAGTATTTTTCTTTTCATTTTCATACTACTTATCACAAAAATACTGTGTTTTCATCTCTCACAAAAGTATTGTTCTTTCGGTTCTCATATTACTCATTAGTACAATCTCACTTTTATAAAAGAACATATTCTTCCGGTTCTTAATATAAGACCCATTTAACTAATTTGATTAGATTAAAGAAGTTAGGTAAGTTAGTTAATTATAAGAAATGTGACACGTTTTTCCTAAAACACCGTAATCATCTTTCTTAATATCCCATCTTCCTCTTCCACTTGATTATGGTTGATGGAGTATCCATATGGGTAATTTAGAGAAAATTGATAAATATAAGAAATGGGTCTTATATTTAGGACAAAAATCAACTCAATAATTGGGTCCTATATTAAAGACCAGAGGAGTACTTAAAAATAACTTCGAATATACAAAATTTTAAAAAAGGCAGCTGACACTTTAAAGTTCAAAATAACAAGAAATGAGGTAAAAAGATTTTGAAAATGTGATGAAATGAAAAAAATATTTTTTTATTAAAAATTAAAACGTTATTTAACCATAAAAAATAAATTGAATTTGGGCTATTCAAAATTTGGATTAAGATTAACGGTTTTACTCATAAAAAGGGTGAGCAGCTCTCTCTCCCCTCCTTTTTAACATGATTGTTTAATCTTTAATAGATTATATTTAAGCATTATCAAGATTAATTGGAGGTAATTCTTTTAACATGATGTTTTTTTTTTTTAAATTCTCGAACAGAATTATGATGTACCAGGGCTGAGATGCCACAATAAAGTCCTCCTCAAGATCAAGTTTTCTCAAATTCGAAGTGTGGAATGAATTTTTCTAGGTCAGTGATGAGTCGAAATCATGAAGTCAAAGCACTGATTGGATTTGGCTGCTTCACTTTGGACTATTTGTATTGCTTATGCTTGCGTCAATTAAATCTATTTACATAAAACTTTAATTACTAATCATTTTTCAACGGAGAAGCAAGTTTTCTCATGAAATCTCATACTAAGAGCGCAGTGTAGTTGATGATGCTGGAATTCTCTCCTAAAAATGATGAATGAATTTGTCGATGGACAGTGTTCATAAAAACTATACATAATTTATCTATATGTTTTTATCATAAAATATAATACAATTAAGCAGTAACAATTAATTAATTTGTCCTGTCTTAGTTAACATTTTTATAATATAGTTAATTGATATGTTTTTTTATCTTAAGCATAAAATTTTAATCTTCTTTATTTTCTTGCATTTATTCTCTTTTTTTTAACTACTCTTATTGACTGCACATTATGAGTAGTTTTTAATATAAATAATTTGTTGGTTAAAGTATACTTTTAGTCCTTTAACTTCATATATGATTTTATCTTGGTCTCTTAACTTTAAAAAGTACAATTTTAGTCTTATAACCCTAAAATTGTTAACAAATAATGATGCTACTGAGCTCCTAAACACTGATAAAATTACTAAATACTAATATATGAAATTTAATATTCAAAACAATCATGATTATTATAAAAAATTATTATTTAAATAAAAAATTACTAAATACTAACATATTAGGTTTAATATTCAAAACAATCATGATTATTATAAAAAATCATTATTTAAGACTAACAATTCCGGGGTTAATGAACTAAAAGTACACTTTTTAGAGTTAAGGGACCAAAATAAAATCTTGTATAAAATTAAAGAACTAAAAGTATACTTTAACCTTTTTTTTTTTGGTCAGAAAAGGTATTTTAATGTAAATAATTAAAATAAGGATTATTTTTTAAAAAACAGTTAACATATGTTATTTACAAATAACTATTTTTTTTAATATGCATGAACTAGCTATTTATAATTCTTATATGCATTGATGCGTCGGGGCATTTGCATTTATTCTTTGTACGTGGAATGATATTGTTAATTAAAAAGGAACAATGGTTATGGACCCCATGATATTGATTTAATTGGACAAGTGTTGTTTTATTATTCTTTTTTTTAAACGTATGCTTTGGATGAAATTAAAGGGGCCAAGAGGAAGCAGAATCTCAACAACTTTATTTTCAAAATCAAATGTACAATTCTTAATTAATGTTGTAAAGATTGCAGAAAGCATAATTCCTATTCCTATGCTATGATGATAGATTACGTAAAATTCCTTGGTCAAAATTACGTAAAATTCAGGCAAAGCATATCAAAATTTAGTAATGGTCAGCACAAGTTCTTTCTCCTCCTTTTGTCCCTTCACACTTGACATTAGCACAGCCTATTTTTGTCTTTACGAAATTCTGCAAATGCTCCGCTCATAGCATATATTCCCCCGCCTTATTCTCTTGCTGACAAAATTTGAAGCATTTTGACTTTAATATGCACCAAATTTAAACGGATAGTGCCAAGAAAAGTTTGAATTTGCTATTTTAATTAAAGTGAGCAAAAACCACTGATTAACACAGAGCCATTCAATTGGCTTTGATTTGGCTTGGCTTTATTTGAGAAAAAAATCTTTAAAAATTGAAAATAATTGAAAATAAAATAACTCTAAGTTATTTTACAATTTTTAGGTAAGAATTCCATGATTCTGAGCTTCTATTATTATTATTATTATCTAGTTAGCTTCCCTAGAAGCTTGTGGAAGACACAAATCATCCCATTTGAAAAAAGAAAAAAAACAGAGAGAGAGACTAACGCCTCTTTGATCATTCTGTCTGCCCCAGATGAAATTTCCTGTCACTTTAATTTTCTTTTGCTTGTTTTTTGTATAGCGTCTGAACTTTTCGTCAAAACAGAACAAACAAAAAACTGGACTTGACGGATTCAAATTGAATTCGGGGATTTTGTCAGTCTGGATTTATATAAAGCAACGGGCTTCTTTTGTATTTTAATGGGCCATTTGTGCACAAGACGACCCATGATCCTATATCAGTTTTCCTTTTTCTTTTGGGTCCTACATAAACCATACAAAAGGAGGGCTTAGCCCAACAGAAAAGTCTAGACTAGGTTGGGATTAACCCCCAAACAATCCTTATCCACAAGGATTCTCCGGCTGCTCAGACACGTATCAAACTAGGAGGAAATTGATATCCCTCGTTTAGCTAATTTACCAGCTACTTCATTTGCATTCGTAGGAATATAGCAGAGCTTTACTTCCCAGTCGAACTTCAATATCTCAAGTATCTGCATCATCAGAAGGCTGCAATACTGATTGGAATTTTCCTGATTAAGAGAATCAATTAGATTCTTTGCATGAGATTCAAGAATAGTATGCTTAAATCCGAAATCCCATGCCAACTTCAAGCCCTTGGAAACAGCCAAGTTTCGGCCTCCAAAACACTGCACGATCCTAGCTGAAGAGAGAAACCCACTATCCAATTTCCATAATGGTCTCTAATACTTCCCCCCACAACCAGCTTTAATTTTTTGGAGGTGTTTGACACGGCACCATCCACATTTACTTTAATCCAACTTTTTCGGTGGTTGCATCCAAATAGTTGGGCTATCCGAACTTTGTATCCTCACACCACATTTCACCTTTGTAGCAGCTGCAGTAAAATTCTTCCAACCATAGTTAATCACAGCAACTGGATTAGCAGGTCTGACAAAGTTGCTTCATAGGATTTTATTTATTTTGCCCTAATTTTTCCATTCACTTCTTCTATCTCTTACACTAAACATGACTCATTAAACAATTCTATTTCTTTCCTCATGCATGCCAAACATCGTCTTTTCATCTCCTCATCTCCATTTCCCGTATTCATTCCATTGAAAATCTTCAAACCAAACGGGGCTTCAACGGACCATGAACTTTAATCTGGCTGTTGCAAAGGGTCTGCGTGTCACATAAATAAAGTCTAAATCTAAGAACACCAACGCTCAAAACCGATGGGATGCAAATATATTATTAAGAGAAAACAAAACTGCAATTGACGAAACCTGTCTCAAAAGAAGTAGCATGGATTATATAGAAATAACAAGATTACATATCCAAATTAAACAACTTTAATAAGGAAACCTTGTAGAAGAGAAAAATAGTTATCGAAAACTCTCAGAATTCAGATTATAGTGGACATCATGGCTGCTGGAAGGAAAAGGGTCGCATAAGGAATATTAAAGGCAGCGATATTATATAGGATACTTTCCTAGTGACGATAAAGCTAAGGTTTGTTTGATTAATAATTGTGGGTTCTAAAAAGGGCAATCCGCATTCCTAGCAAAGAAGCTTCCGCCGCCGGCGAGGCAGGGTAATAGAGGCGAAATCCAAGTGTGTCTGAATCAGTTGCGCTTCTGCAGTAAAGGGCGTCGCTTCAATCAACGGAGGTTAGATATAGTAGAAGAGGCTAGTCTCTCATAACGTGGTGAACAAATATTCAAATTCTATTGGAAAGGTACTGCGTGAGGATTGCTTCCAAATAAGAGAATACACGTCCCTACCAAAAAAACTACATCCCTTCGGTGAGCGAGTTGGTTTTAGCATTTAGATGGAATGAACAGTCGCAATTAGGGTGAGAAGATGGGAGATAATAAGATGATAAAGAAATGAATCAAAGTGAACCAGCTGGTACAAATATTAAGCATATAACCACTGCACATGTCCATTCCAAGTTACAATGACATACACGAAAACGCGAGATGAAAGTAAACCTGGCATAAAAAATGAATAAAATGAAGGGATTTTTTTCATGGCTTTGACTGTAATTTTGTACAACAGAGAAGAAGCCATTTGATTAACATTAGTCAAGCTCAGGAATACTCTGCAGAACAGGCCTCCAAGGCCTATGGTGATCAGAAACATGATGATGATCTCTAGCGCTTAACAAGCGGACCAGAACTTGTTCTGCTAAAGCTCTTCCTTCTCTCTCCTTCTTCCCCATAAGTCCCATTAATTCCTCAAGCTCCTTCTTCGACATCTTTATCGTCACTTTCCCATTATTAGACGACGACGAAGCTCCCATCCCTCCCAGAAGCTGCTTCTTCTCCGGCACGACCACTTCGTCGACCTCGCTCCATGCATGAACTTCATCAAACACCTTGCTTGATCTCGTCGACGACCTCAACGATCCCCAGTCGTCGCCGTCCCAGTCCACAGCCGACGTCTTTCTGCAACAATTTCCCATATATCTATCTCTAGCTATACCTCACTGAAGCCGAGTGATTGAAATTAAAGATCTGTGTGTATTATTTGTGTACATATAATGAAATATGAAATGTTGGAATGAGAGAGGATACAGGTGGGGAGGTTCAGGCGTGTATATATATATATATATGAAGAGAAGGGAGGACGAAGGTGGGCTTTGTTGACCGAAGACTTACGTTAGAGATGCCGTGTAGGACCCAGATTATTTGGTGACATATTTATAGAAAAACAATAGTTAATAAAAGGACGTTGCGCTGAGTGGATAGGATATCTACTTGATCTGGTCTTAAATCAAAATAATTTTGAGTGTGAAAATTCAAGGGTGAATCAGCATCTTTGGGAGGTGTGAGAAAGTGGGTGTGAACACAGATCTTGGGGAATCTTGGACTAGTTAATCATGAAACACTAGTCCTGTTTAGTTTACATGTAGAAGTTATCCAACTCATTACTATATATAATTACTTTCACGTGTTCTTGATACTTTAGCTGTCACCGTGTCAAGATCTACGTGCATTAAGTTTTTACTAGTAATAGTAATAGTAATGCTGGAAGTTAGAATGTCAATTGCCCAAAGCCACCAAGCTAGAATGTCCCTTTTCTTTGCCAGAATTATATCCCAAAGTTTTCTTCTTTTCTTAACTAATCATATATATATATATATATATATATATTTCTGTATTTTGTTCAATTTATGCTGATATCTTATTTATTTTTAATTCAAAACTTATGATTTTGCTTTTAAAAATAGAAAGCAAATCATACAACTTTTTTACATGTTTGTTAAAATTAGACATACGTGCACGTCCTAGCAAAAGAGGTTAGATAATATATTTCGTTTAAAAAGAAATTGGAATGAAAATATGCACGCGAAAAAAGAAGAAGAAAAGAAATATCTTTAAGAGAGATATCCTTAACTAGATCTTCTGTTTACATTAATTGATTATATCGTAGACTGAAGAATCTGGCAATAGGTTTATGCCCCGTGGACAATGAGCAATTTAATCATGATGAAATCCGCCCAAAATATTTAAACATATTTTCATTCTAATTTCAAAACTTGTGTCATTTCTTCTTGAATAGAATTAGGCCATATGAATATATATTTGGTAAATATAATGACGACAAGAGTTTGTTGATTTGATAATAAGAAAATGTATAGCATGCTTTGATGACGAAAGAATAAGAATGGCTTCAGAAATAAAAAAAGCAGCAGAGAGAGAAAACAAGACGAAACCCGGAGAAAATAAAAACATAAAGCCCATAGGATATGAACATTTATATTCTTAAATTCAACTATACATGCTGATGCTTGCAAGATAAGAAGAAGAAGAAGAAGCAGCAGCCTGGATGCGCTGTATAGAATAATGATGATGACGATAATAATCATCAAATGAACATAGCTAGAGTGTACAAGCTGGATATGGCTTTGTCTGAAGATTGGACCTGTAATCCACTGTGTGTCGGTTTGGTAGTTGAACGCACATGCAAATCTGTGTCTCATCATCAGCGTAATCGACGCTTCTTGAAGCTTCTTCTTTTTCACACATATTTCATATTAATTAATTAATCAATATTCATCTTTATACATGTGTGTGTAGATTGTTGCTGTCTTTCAATTAATTTGCATGCATGTGATTCACCGACTGAGTTTTTCCGTCTGAATGAATACCAGCGAAGAACAGCCGATGGATAGAAGATACTTTTTTTCTCATTCCTCTGTTCCTTAACGTGGAACTTAACTGAGGAGTTAATATTGGTTTATATAAAAATATTTTTACATGTTTATCAATTTTTTTCTTCAAATTAACTGTATTAATATTTTTTTAATAATAATCAAGTAGGAGAAAAAAGAACAGAATTAAAAAAGAGAGTTAGGATATTTTAGAAAATATAGATCATATTAACTAATTTAATTAACATATTTACTCTACGTAAATTAGTGAATTAAGTCTCACGTTAAGGAAAAGAGGAGTATAATGAATTTTATTAAAATGATTTAAAACAAGAAGGTGGATATCCAAATGACGATCCATTTTTTTTACAAGAAGATGGTATAGTTTTTAATTATCGCACCTAAGTGAGAGCATTATTAATTATTCTACGTACAATAACTAAGTTCGTGTGCTGATAGAAAGGCAAGCTCTCTTTTTTTTTTTTTGGAAAAAAATTCTCTTGATATCAATGTTCAATACCAAATTAAAATATGACAATTTTTCTGATATGAACAATGAGGAAAAATGTTCAGATTTAAAATCATAAAACCACCACCAATTCATAATGTTTCAGCCTAGGTTTAGAATAAGTCTTCTGGTTGGGTCTCTAATATTAATTACTTGGGTTAGGTGATTATTGAGCATAAATGATGGGTGAAGTTTTCGTTTAGAGTTGGTGACACATTGCTAATTTAATGATACGACTGAGTCATGGGATTTTACATCTCTTAATTGTGTGAGCAAATTCAATTAACTTCGTATTTTTAGTAAATATATTCATGTGTGATGAACCAGATAAATTCACAAATATATATTTAATTTTTCTATATATGTATTTCAACATCAGTATGACAATGGCAGGCTATTTAACAATAGAAGTGTCTTTGGACTGTCTGCACATTCGTATATATCTTTTGTTTTTTTGCCCGTGGTCTTTTCATATATCTCAGAAGTTGGATTTATAAATTCAAATATATTACGTATTTATCCCTTCGAAATAATTGAACTTAAATTATCAAAGGATATACTTCATCCAAATTGAGTGCCTTTTTCTTATCTATTCAAGTCAAACCTCATAAAACATATTTATTTGAAATATCTTTGAATGTGGAATTTCACTGTTGAACATATATATTATTTCTGAAGTGCGCACGTGTAGATATGTATAAATTATTAGCTAGTCTCCAATTAGCCAGAGCAAATTTTTTCCCTTAGAACTCGTATAGATTCTTGAAGACCAACAATAACAACTTCAGGAACCAGACTTTTCAAAATTCTCAAATTACATCTAGTACGGGTATTTTTCTTGTTGATCGATTTCGATTTTCACACAAATTATTTATTCATGATTATAATTATTATTACATAAATACTCCTCCGGTCCTTAATATAGGACCTAATTGTTGAATTGGTTTTGGTCCTAAATATAAAACTCATTTCTTATATTTATTAATTTTCTCAAAATTACCTCTATGGATACTCCCTCAACTATAATCAAATAGAAGAGGGAGAGGGGGTATTAAGAAAAATGATTATGATGTTTTAGGAAAAATGTGTCACATTTCTTATGACTAACTAACTTACCTAACTTCCTTAATCTAATCAAATTAGTTAAGTGGGTCTTATATTAAGGATCGGAGGAGTATATCAAATGTATGTTTTCTAATCTACTACTACCTCCGGTCCTAATTATTAGAGCTAGTACTATTTGATATTATCAAATATTATTAGTGGATGAGTCATGGGATTTTACATCTCTTAATTCCCTGGAAATATTGAAAGCTAGGTGGACATAAATTTTTTGAGGGAAATCTTAGTTCTCCATTTAATTACTTACACCAATTCAGATAATTTGAGACTCTTTTGCAGAATCTCTTTCGGCTCTTTCACGATAGAGACCTCTACCTAGGGATCTATTTGTAACAACTTATAAGCAACTTTTTAATTATAATTTAAGAAATACTACCTCCGGTCTTTAATATAAGATTTCGTTTGACTTTTATTTTGATCCAAAATATAAGACCCAAATCTACTTTGTCTCTAATATTTATATATATTTTTTCTAAGATAGTTCTTCTAACAATGGTAGTTCTAGTCAATACACTTGATTAGCAAGGATATTTTAGGAAAAACAGTACCTATTTATGACAAATAAGTAACTTAACTTTTTTCTTTAATCTTCTCAAATTAGTCAACTAGCTCTTATAATTAGGACCGGAGGTAGTACGAGATAAGTCTATAAAAGAAATTTTGTCTTGACTTATATAAAACGTGCTTATAAATAATTTTGAAAGCTATGTCAAACAGGACCTGACTATATATTTAGTTATAAGACTATCACGAGATCAATTATTCACAGTTTAAGCTATATATCAGCAAATCATAATTTAAATCAAAGTAAGTAAATAAATAAAGCATAACCTAGGTGACAATTAATATTGAGCCAAAAATATCTGCTCAACAAAAAAAAATAATTGAGCAAAAAATAGAACGAGCGTGTGACTGTGTATATCGTATTCTACTTGCCAAACAAGAGCTAGCATGTCATTTTCATTTTCATTTTCATTTTCATTTTGTTTTCTTTTTCTTTCTTTACGAAAGCATGCCATTTTCTTAACTACAAAAACTAATGGCTGAGAAGAAACAACAGGCAATACCCACATATCTGTGGGTAAGCATTACCAATTCAATTTATGTCCCCATAAATCTTTATAAGAATAACTAAGAAAAGAAAATCTGTGTTTATGCACAAACAACTTTAAAAAATATATGGTTAGTTAACCTGTTTAACTCGTTCAAATTAATCTGTGATTCATGAAAGACTATTAACCTTTTCATCTCATTATAATGACTTTACTTTTAATTTTCTTACCATGCTAAAGCTAAAAGAACTTTTAAATGTTTGACCTTCGAATAAAATCTTTAAACATCCAATTGAATCATCTGAATACTAAAATTTTTTTGGCTAGAAAATAAAAAATTGAATACAAATTTGTTGTAGTTATAAATAAATTGAATCACGTTATTTGTAATTTATAAACTGCATGATCTTTTTTATAATTTTTTCAAACATATAGTTGACAAATGCTTGTTATATACTCTTCCACCTCAGCAAACTAGCTAGGCTCATTTAACTTTCTAGAAATCCTCCTTTTTCCTGATCAATTTCAATTCGACTACGTAAAATGATATTTCTTCGTACAAGACCGTTCAGGAAATATTTAAAACCTTATATATGTAGAATTTTAAAATTTTCATATGTTTATATTAGTGATGTCATGAGTGGGCAAAAAAAAAAATATTAGTACTGTTATGAACGATAATTAAATGTTTCTATTCTATTTTCATATATAATACT